GCTTTCTTAAGCCCTCTCCAGTTTTCCTACTGCAGTTTTTGCACCTTCTCCAACTTTTCTCACTCCAGTTTTACTACTCTCACTGTGCTCCTGACTATACGTCCAGGACTAGGAAGTCGTACGCCCCAACTATCAGTGTATGCTATATGAAGTACTATGACTGATAGAAGGATGATGAATATTTTCATACATATCTTCATCCTAAATTGAAATGATCAATGACTATCAATAATTCTATGGAAATTTATATAGATTTTAATACGAAAGATTCAGCTACAATATGTGAAAGAACTCGACGACATTCCCGTGCAAAATTGATGTACACCCAACCTCGTACCCAGGGTAATTTCGCTGTTCTATACTTTCTAAAGACCTAGGTATGAGGATGGTGTACATTATTTTTTTTTTAATTTTAATTTGAAAAATAGCTATAAAAATCTTTTCATGCCATATTGCAAGCCAAGTTGCTCTGAGTGAAAAAAGACCTGTTGGAATCTTCAATCACTATAGTTACCCAGACCAGACACATCCAATGGTGCCGGGAGAATACACGATTTTTGTGAACACGATAACAAACTAGGTTTTAACGCTAGAACGACAGAATTAGTTTTATTTAGTTTCTAAATATTTTTGCCTGGGAGCTGAACCTCAAAAAACTTTTGAAGTATTAAGCGTTTAGGCTATAAATATAAAACTTCAACGAACTATCTAAAATAAAGTATAAAAAGTCGCTATTTTACTTAGACGGAATACACTCAATACAGCACTTTAGGTTCAGGTTCGAGCCGGGCAATTGTTTTTAAAGTCAACCATGAAAATTTTATCAAGTTAGCTTTATTACTTTTTGAGTTTTCGTGCACGAAAGAAAGGGCAATGAGAATTTTAGTTTGCTAAGAAAAACGACGAAAAAGGTTTGCATATATTCATAAAATATAGAGAACAATACAATAGAAAAATGAAACAATATAGAATAAGCAAATAGGCCCCTTTTGTTCGCGTTCGTGATATATTTTCTTGAGATAAAATATTCAAGATCGATTACGGAAACATTTAAGTTTGCATCCCTGGAAATTTTTAAGAGAGGATAAATACATACCCTTATATGCCTATATACCCTTTCTGCACTAACCCTATCACGCCCGAAAAGGAATTTTGAAAGCTCGTTTCGTTTGCGGACGAAGCAAAAAAAACTGTGTAGATTTCGCAATATTAAATGATGGTAATTTGAGGTTAATAAATACATTTCATTACAGATGGTTCGGAGCAAGAAAGATGCTGATGTTTAAGGCTGTTTTTCATCAAGTCGAAATTGACGTGACAATTGCGTGACCGAATACTTCACAAAATGCAGCTAATACACATTTACACAATTGTAAAAATGCGCGGTATATATAGTTACCTCAACTCAACTCTCAAGTCTTTAAAAAGCTGCCAGCTCAATCAAAAAATCTAAAATTAAACAAGATGTCTCTAAAAATAATTCGGTGCACGGCAAATGATTCAGGTTTCCTGATCATCGTTATATTATTACCTTAAATTTCAACAAGAATGAAAAAATTCTTATATTTACCCTGCTTTGTGTAGTCTTCGCAGCTCGAGTTTACTTCAGATACTGTAGAAGGAGAGCGCACCGCCAAACTACAAGTTCAGTGAGGTGCTAGAAGTATATCCTGTTAGAGCGGAAACAACATAAGCATATTTAAATTCATCTGGCAGGGGAAATAAAATGTATAATAATATTGTAGTAACTGGTTCGTCCTACTATCACGCAATCAATATTATAGAATTGAATAGTTAAAAGTAGTAGTGGTTAAACGAGTTGGAGGCCACTGGTTTTGCCAGTGGTTTCCCGTGAATAAACTGGTAGTTATATAGTACTCTAATAATTACCTTATTACGCATTTATTTGGTCCAGGCTTGACTGACATAGGTCTGACCAAACTGCCTTTACTGCCTCTAGTGTAGAATGAAGCTAAGACTAATATCGCTAATGAGATGCTAATGAAGGTTAATCTAATTAATCTAATTAATTACTGGATTGGTTTCATTCGATGCGACCAAAATGCTACTTCCAAAACACGTCCGCCACTGTATTCAGAGGTAGTAAGCGTGGCTAAATTTGATAAGTTGCCTTCACGGGGAATTACCGGATGAATTTTGAACAGTGCTCGATTCGTCCAGCATTCTTCTGTAAACACAAAGAGCCGGTCAAATTTTCTTCCTTTTTTATTGTGTAAACACCTGAACAAGACGAATTTAAGCAAGGTTGAACTGATTGGTCCGACCCCGTGCGTGTGAACGGAGCCTTAAGCTCGTTTTCCACTAGGCGAATTTATTCGTTCGACGTGAACCGATATCTGAAATCCAGTGATGTGATTGGCTTACCAAAAAAATTCGCCGCGATAAAGTAGGATCGCTTCCTACTTTTTATCTGTTCGCGCGAACAAATTCGCCAGTGGAGAACGGGCTTCAGTGAAGAAATATTCCTCCGTTAAAACAGACAGTAAGACGATTTTTTTCATAACGCGTCAATTGCGATATGCATATGTTCATATTAATAACACAATTAACTACCTCAAAATGTTAGATCCCCTGTCTACTAATGTTTCCTCTCTTAACTACAAACGTCACCGCCAGGCTAATCGAATATACCGGAATATAGTATATTCGACCTTGGTCAGGTTGCTCGTGCGGTTAACTCAGAGTCCACTATACTAAACCATACTGATGAGATGACAGAGGCCTGAGCAGACCGAGTGCCTGATCACTCTGTTGCCCGTAACTTTTCCTTGAGTCTAGGTTGAATACGGCGTTTCAAAATGTAATTGGGCACAGTGCCCAAAAACAGGCACTTCCTCCAGCCGTAATACTCAACGACAACGAGGACACTGCGGTTAGCACATTTGACCAACCAAGCAATAAACTATAGCAAAAGGGTTTAGCTGAATGAAATCAACTAATATTATATATCAAATGCCTAGTAGAGAATTTTAAACCGCGGGCTCTGTCTCACATTGCCGGCGTAAAAATGCATGTGCTGTTATCATAGTTGAGCGACCAGCGAGTTCACTGTGAACAACTTAATATTGATAACAATTTCGATCGTGGTTCATTTGTAGCCAGCTTCCAGACGTAAATAAAGATTCATTTGTTCATGTTTATTACGAGTACACAGCAAAAAATTGACCGACACTCTAACACGAACAATCGTTTTTTTTTTCGCAGCATAATTTTTAGAACGCCTTTAAGGTATGATTACTAGATGCTCTAAAATAACAACTAAACTATGATCATTTGCTATTTTGCTTCAATTGATGCATCTCTGCGTTAATCTGCTGACTTACATAACCGCGGTATGCATGGTTAGTGTGTGACAAAAATATCTTATTTGGTGCTTTCTAAAATATTGTGGCACGCAGGCGTAAAAAGAAAAATGACCACACTACCATGTACAAATGCCGTGCCTGTAAATTCTATGCCTAAAGATTAAAAATGAAAATATAATTTTTAAGCGAGTACACAGCATAAAATCATCATGTTAATGCAAATTAAAAAGAGGAGTGAACGATGTTGTGCGTACCCTGTATGTGGACAGTATTGTTAGCAATGGTTGTTGAACCATTAATACTGTTGCAACTTGTTGTAACAAGTAACAACATTGTAACAATACCTTTCATGGGGCGCAGCATACACGCCTAAAAACGATCAGGTTGATGCAACATTGATATGAACAGCATCGAACAATGTTGTGCTGCCCACATTGTTCAGAGTTGTTATCAACTTGGAACAATATTGTTGGAACTGAATCGGGTGTAACAATATTGTTCCAAGTTGATAACAACTCTGAACAATATGGGCAGCACAACATTGTTCGATGTTGATGCAACAACCTGATGAGTTTTTATCCGTGTAACATTGACACTCGACGTCATTGCTCACGACAATCCATTTACGTCATGTAAGATACACTAATGTTACCTTAATTAATATTCCAATATGGCTGCTCGAAATCCCTCGCCTCCACCAATGTCAGAGCAAGAAGCAAACATATTGTATTCCGATAATATTGGTGACACCTTGTTTAGTAAGAAATGGGTTCTTAAAGTTTTATTTAACGCAACTCAGCAGATAAAGAGCGATAATGAAGACTCGATTGTTAAGGATAGTTTGGATTCAGAACTCTGTCAACTTTGGGATATGTCTATGAGTAAGGTACAGTATAGGCTTTAGATAGCAGGTTGACTCGCTTCCAAATCCTTTCATTGATATTAGGATAACTAAGTCCTTGTAATTGATGTTCACTTTCCAGATTAGCAAGTTAATTTTTTTGTATGCTAGACAAGAGTAAGACTTTAATCAATGTACTCCACTCAGTCCACTGTGGTTGTGATCTGTATTTGTGTATCGAGATTGCTCAATATCATTTGTAGAACGAACAAATCAATAAAAGTAGCACACTTTGGCATAGCACTGATGAGTAGTGCAGGTATACAAACCTGTAACGATACAAAAGACCGCGTCCAATTTCATTCTTTAGGATGTAGCGTTATTCCTCCAAGAAGTCAATGGTGTAGATATTTTTCTTGAGATAATTTTGGGATCTACAACCTCAAGATTAACTGTAAGAATTCAAGTTGTACACTTGTGCATTATATTCACTTTGCTGTTGTATTCTGTTATACGGTACTGCTCAGAAGTAAGTTAACAGAACAGAACGCGTTCCAAATTGCGTTCCAATCGCGTTCCATTTTGTTCCAAATGGCGTTCCAATCGCATTCCCTTTCCTTTCAAATTGCGTTCCAAATTGCGTTCCAATCGCGTTCCATTTCGTTCCAAATTGCATTCTAATCGCGTTCCATTTCGTTCCAAATCGCGTTGAATTTGCGTTCGGCTTTTAGCGAAAGTGCGAAACGCGTTGCATCAGTTTCGTCAATTAGCGTCATTACAATCAGTTAGCGTCGATTTATTTTTGTTTACAAATTTATTTACATTTTACACTTCAAAGGGGGAATAATTTCTTTGCAGACAAGTGGTGTAGTTCAGTGATTTTTACCAAAATGTTTTGTCATTCTACGCAACAATAACTTCGACCGTGATCCGAGTCGGTAAACGCTAATCATTCAGAAAAATTCGAAGAAGGAACGCGGTTTCAAATTCAAATATTTCATGGAACGCGTTTGGAACGCATTTTGAAACGCGTTTGGAACGCATTTTGAAACGCGTTTGGAACGCATTTTGAAACGCGTTTGAAACGCATTTTGAAACGCGTTTGGAACGCATTTTGAAACGCGTTTGGAACGCATTTTGAAACGCGTTTGGAACGCATTTTGAAACGCGTTTGGAACGCATTTTGGAACGCGTTTGGAACGCATTTTGAAACGCGTTTGGAACGCATTTTGAAACGCGTTTGGAACGCATTTTGAAACGCGTTTGGAACGCATTTTGAAACGCGTTTGGAACGCATTTTGGAACGTTTTAATATTTCAGAGCAGTAAAATTGAGTATTGTTAAATCAATCATCTTGAACACTCTTATGAACATTTAGGAAATATCAATTGGAATTATGGCAAATATGGCTTGTCAAGAAGATATTTGCAAGGATATTACAAACAGAGAAAAACTAATGTAAGTTATTTAGGCAAAATTTTTGACCCAAATTGATTGAACTTTTTATTTGATTAACAGTTATAAATTTTCTATTGAATATTGGGTAAGCTTTATCCTAATTGACAACCAAAAGCTTGAGATAGTTGATTAATTAATAGAATTTGAATCATTCTGTCCAGTGCTGTGGAAAAGATACCATTCTGACATTTAATGTGTCTTATATTTCAGTGAAGTTATGCTGATAATAATGGATCATCGTGATGCACCTATACTTGTAGAAGTCACAAGGTATATTATTATATGGCATATATTTAGCATATATAGTGTAAATATGTTCCAATATAACAACAAAAATAGATAAACTTTTCCTTGACATTTTGACCTCAGGAAATGTTGAGGAGTCTAACAATCTCTATTTTAGGCAGTTGGTAATCCAATTAATGAGAAGTAAATTGCTACCTCAAATTGTATTTATCTTTATTCTTACATTCCAACAACTATCCAGTTCAAATCATCATAAATCCCCAACTTTAGACTTGTCCATGTGGCGATTTCCAAGAATGAGACACGTGAGAAGTGGATGAGTGCAATACAACATTCAACATTCTTAGAAAACCTAATATTTATATTGGAAAACTCAATGCATGGTAAGACATAACCTTTATTGACTGTAGCATAGTTTATTGACAATTATTATTGTTAAAGGTAAATTTTAGATCCTTCAAAATTTTAGATCCTTCATCCAAATTCCTCACCTCCTCATCTAAGGGTTTTCCATTTATAGTAATCAATAAGTATTGAATAAGTTGTTTGTTGGTTGGCATTTCTTACTGTCAATCAGCCAAATGGTACCTAGCTGGAACTTAAGACTTACAAGGTGTACTAAATTTTAATCTAATGCTGACCTAATTCTTGGCAAGTTACCTTTGCCTGTAATGCACTCGTATAAAGCTGGCGTTTCCTAGCGTGTCTATGATAGTGTAGCTAAACAATATGAATTTGCTCAAACTCTATGCAATTATATACGTGCATGCTGGCTGATCGGGACTTGAATATGTTTTTGGGCCTAACCGATCGACATGCCAGTCATACCTCAATAGAAATGAACCTTGATGCGAATCGAAATAAAAATATTAAAAACCTAACGCTAGGAGATAAGAAGAAGCCGTGAGAAGGTGAAGACAATAATTGATATGAAATGAATAGTAGCCTACTGATTAAACGTGACGCATGCTCCCTGTAAGAAGGTAAAAAAGAGAATAGCGGAAAGAGCCAGACGAGTGTGTTATTATGTTTGTTATGGGGAATTCTTGTGACGCATCTCATGGTATTAAATCATTTAATGTGGGTGTGTTGTCACTCTTTACCTCTCCTTCGATAGCGAGCTGAATGACTTTGCTCCATTTTTAATTATTTTATTTCTAATACGACATGTCTTCAAGTGTTATGTAGTAGCAAGCTGTGTTTTATTGCGAAACGACCTTAAAACTCTTCTCGTCCCAAATATACATGTCTCGCACATAAAGTGTTCGCACATCGTAAAAGTATACAGTGCTGCATGTACACAGCCAGAAACTATGTTGATCTCCATATTGACTATATAGCTAGCTACCATAGTTTTTTCTTCATCTCTGTTGACATAAAATACCTTTTGTTTATTCTTTATTCTGTTTATTTTGCAGATGAACTATTATTAAATTGTAGCCTGTTATTATCGTCGTTGTTGACATACAATAAAACTTTGTTGGAAATCATTGACAAAGAGAAACTGGCTAAAGCCGTAGTAGAAGCCATTCAACAAACGAAGTAAGAGATTTTTTATATAGTGTTAATCTGAGTTACCAACCGGACATGCAAGCTAAAATATTAGCTTGACCCCAGTGGAAATTAAACCCGCGAGTATTGGTTTTGTAGTTCATCGCTCTAGCAACTGAGATACCAATTAACAGTTCGAATGATTATATCACATTTCGGAACTCAATCCGTAAGTCCCTCTATAAAGAGTTTAACACGGAGTAGTAGCCTATTTATTTATATAGAGTATATATTTATTCCTTCGGCAAGCAGGGACGACTCCAAGAAAACTCGTGAAAATTTGTTGTATATACAAGAAATCTTAGTAGAGAAAGAGTGAACAAGTTTTGCGGTTGAACATGCTGCTTAAATGAACAAGTATCATCGTTGCACATATCACCATGACGAGAATTTTTGTTTGATGGCTAATTCCTGGTGTTCCTGCAATCATTGACCATCATGATGTCATCCAATAGTGAATAGTCTATTTGTGCAGAAATATTTTACCACTCCAATCACAGCTTGCTAGTAAACTCGGAATGATTGGGCTCCATGCAACATCCATACAAGGTTGGGAATCTAAGGAATAATTCTTTATAATGTTCGACGCACGATAGTTGTAAATATACACTAAACCATCAGAAGAACCAGTTGCTATAAGACAACCATCTGGACTGATGTCGATACCAATATGGTAGCCTGACACCTGCAAGAAACATATGAAATTAGTGCAAGACAAACCATCCATGCAGACAAACTTTTCCTAATTTTTGATTTTTATCAATTTCTAATATCCGCCGGTTATTTGTCAAGACGAATCTCAAATACGGTATACATCTTGTATAACATACGCTATGTCCTTCATATCTCTTGTATTTGTTGAGCTTATAAGGAGGTTTTTGTGAGAAAACAGCGATATATCCTGCGTTACATTGCGCCAAAAACACGCTGTCATTTGGATGAATCTGTAGGGCAGTGCAAGTGTAGGCTTCCTGAAAATGAAGAATAATATTTGTAACAATTTACTCATGCATCATGCATAGAAAAGTTAGATATAAATTTTTAACCTGGAAAACCTGGTTTGACAAAACTGTCGATGTTTTGTAGTCCCAAACCATTATTCCTTTATCTGTTGAATTTCGCCTGGAAATCTCAGCAGCTGAAATAAAACTTTGTCCATCCGGTAGGAAAGCCAAGTCTTGTATTTGACCAAAGAAGGACTTGTATCTGCAAATAAACTATTTTTGTGCCAGTATTAAAGTCGCAATATTGATCGTAAAAACGGCCAAATAGGTACGCAAGCATAGTACGCAAGGAAGCCAACTGCTGTTGATAAACATGCATCATCATCTTAGGACGAACGTATTCGCAGCAGAAGCTTTTCGTTCAAATCAGAGCTATAAATTGGCTGTATTTTTAACGCATGCAATATCTTGAGCAGAAAGTCATTTTCAAACGCAGAAAAAAGCGAGTTTACATGACTTCGAAATGTATTTGAGAAACAATTTAGAAACCTGTTGTGTTCTAAGATCCCAGGAAAATATTCCATCGTTGGATGTCCCTGACAGGTACATATTGGGATCTGACGGGTGATACAGGACACACGACACAAATGAATTGTGTTTGTTTGCAGAAACCTCCTTTCCTGCAATAAAGGACGTGTTCATTACCTATTTCTGATATGCATGTTTGCAGTGCAGCCAGTTCTCTACAAGATGATCTCCAGATGCACGCACGTGCATGTCGCACGTACATCATATTTATTCCATTTGCCTTTATTTTAATACAGATAGCTTATTAGTAACCTTTTAGCTATAAATAAATGCATAACGAAGTAATTTATTAGTTATTACAATCATACCAGAACTAACATCAATTATTCTTGTGTACTTGTCATATCCACCACTCAATATTTTTAATCCATCATCACTCCATTTTGCGTCTTTCACGGCTTGTGTATGAAAATTAACTTCTCTCAAGCAAGATGGCTTGCTTTCAACATTCCATACTTTCACAAGACCATCCATTGATGCCGACAGCAAGAAATCCTGGAAACTTGGATTCCACGAAATTTTGTTAATTGGTCCTTGGTGCGCATCAAAATTAACAAATCTTTTTTCTGGAGCGTGATAATGTAGAATATTTTCCTTCGAGAATGATTTTGCTCTCTTGAAAAATGCGTTAGAAAAGTCGTTTTTGTCTTTTCCATGCTTTTCACACTCAATTTTTGCCCGTTTTGCTTTCGGTATGTAAGGCATAATCATATCCCCTCCAATTGTACCCCGATTTACTTTGGTGACAATTTCACTAGAATTACGCTGTCGTGAACTCTGAACATGATCTTGTGAATGATAAGGCTGTTGTAAATCTTTGTGATGTTTACTGGGATCAAGCGGTTGTGAATCCTTAATACGATCTTCACTAGGATTAAGCGGCTGTGAATCCTTAATACGATCTTCACTAAGATTAAGCTGTTGTGAATCCTTAATACAATCTTCACTTGCATTCGGCTGTGGTGAGATTTGCAAATGATTTTGTCGATGATCAGGATCTTCATCTTCTGAATATGTGTAAGAAGCAATAATGGCGTCCATCGTTACCTTTAACAAGAATATTCGTTATAATAGCCAGAAAATGATTGATCAGGAATTGCGTTATCAGTAGAGGCGTTGATGATTCATGTTTTTTCTAGTGGGGGAGGGGGTGTGGTGGTCACGCCGTTTTTATTAGAGGCATTGATCAGGATTCAGGAATCACGTTTTTGTAGCGGAAGAGGAGGGGGGGTGTGTCAGGTATTGAATTAGATGATTGATCAAGTGTTGTAAATTCCAAGGTCACTCAGTGTTCTGCAATATGTAAAGAGAGTTGTTCAGGGGTTTATTAATTTATTGCATCATAAAATTCTCATTACTTTTGGTGGGTAAATTCCCAACATATGTACAATTAATTCAAACAAATAATTATATTTTAAATAATTTATATTTATGTACATTTTAAATTTTAACTCATATTATTAAAACTGCTTTTAAATAATGTATATTTGAAGATTTTTTTGATAATTTATTACTATATTGTTTACATACAATATATGGCATTCAATTATTATTTAAAAGCCTTTTTTGGGTGTATGGTTTCAGTTTTAGAGAGCATTTCGAGTGATTTTGTTGGATGACGAAAGAAACGTCTAACTTTACCTTACTAAATTAGTCAATTATATACTCAAATACTAGAATTTCTCTTCTGGAATGATTTGGTTAACAGTACGTGTTCAAAATGATATCTGTCATTAAGTAGGTTTTTTTCATTCATTTTTTCGTTTTCTTGGCATTTTGTTTGATTTTCTCGTCATTTGACTCATTTCCAATATTATATACATGTGTAAGGAAATGAAAATCAGTCGGTGAATATTGTAGTGAAAAAAAAACTTATTTAGTGCTTGATCATTTGACATTTAACCTCTCATCGTCAATATTGACAATACTTATATTCAGAGGTTATAAGACTTGATAGATGTAAAATAAAATAAACTGAAAGTTATCATAAAGAAATTAGAAATATTATTAGTATTTCAAAATTTTAAGCATAAAAAAAATTGTCTAGATCCTGCATAGTTGACAACGCCCTTTTAAAAAGTCGTTGTTCTGGTAAAGTATACTCTTAGATTCATAAACAAATTTTCTTTTGTTACATTTTCGCAATACAGATATTGTGCAAGTTCCAAATCTCAGCGGAGAATGGGGTCATTTTCTAATTTACCCTAAAACTGAAAGAGAAATGTTGATGCCTCACTAGTCATATATGCACTAGAGCTTTGGTGTTCCCTGGTGTAGTGCTGTATTGACAGGCATACCCAATCAATAAATTAAAATGGTAAAAAATGTACCTTTTTACCAGAAGTACCCACAATTTATGCATTCTGATTGGATTACTAACAGTGTAAACAAATTTGCTGATTGGTCTGAAACAAAATTCCTTTATGTTGTCTTGGTGTTCATGATGCCACAAAAACATTTAGCCTAAACATACTGTTTGCATATCAATAAAGCATTAAACAGTGTCACAAAGTGTACTTTAGTATGAAAATTGTATGTAAATCATAGTACAATGATTCTACTTTGCTTGGTGCAATTCTTTCTCAATTCTTTCTAAGTGAATGGTGCTAGGTACTGTTCCTGCCAAAGGCCAGAGGAAGCCCAAAAATAATAATTCTCCTTAGCTATTAGACTCCAGAAAGAGAAGCATTAGTCTAAATTTCATCAAGTATTGTCAGTGTGGTCATCTCACCATCTTAAAATTACTGAATTTTTTAATCTTTATTACAGGGTAGTAATCACTTTGGACTAGATAGGTGTAGTCTAAAATCAATTTTAAATTATTTCTAATGATGTTAACATGTCAATTGCAAACTAGAGGAATTATGTACTGTACGAGGTATTGTGCTTGGCAACCTTATTTTCAACACAAATACGTGCTTCACTATCAAAATGTCAATCCAGAGGCAAAATTAATGGTTATCACAGGTCATGTATCTTTGAGATTTGAGAAGGACAGAAGGTATGATTTTTTAATAATAATTGACTGGACAGTATCTACTCACCTATAATTTGAACTCATGAATGTTTGAGGATGAAATTTAAAAAAAGAAAATTAAATATATGATAAATTAAATTTGGTATTGGTACAATAATATATCGTTTATATTTATATACACACAACATACACATTGCACACTGAGCTAGCAATATTCTGGACAAATAGTGCCATGAACTAGTATAACTAGATGAACTAGTTTACCCATTAGGTAGGGATGCTGCCATTACTTCTGAAATTTTGGCAAAGGAAGAGTTGTCACCAGGTGATTATTGAGTTTTGCTACTTGCATAATAATTATTTGGGTATTTACCCTAGTTTTTTCCACTGATTAAGAAATCATATTCACGCTTTGATGTGACACACTCCTCCAGTCCATAGAAGCTTTTGTCATAGGCAGCCCAATATCGAATGGTTTTTTTCGGAAGTAAAAATGTACACTTTGATGAAATTCACACATATTTATTTATATGCTTATATACTTGAATCCTGTTAATTACAACGGGCGACTTGCGTGTCTGACAAAGCAATGTAGGTAGTTATTATATATTATACTATGCTTTTGTGTAAAAGGTATTTTAAAAACTGATTAGAGTACGGCGCGTCAGTTGTCACTAAATGTTGTTCAACAATTGGACTGCAGAGTTGCAAAAAGAGTTCAACTTTCCTCCGGTAGGATTTCAAGTTTTGAAAACATCCTCAAAATGACGTTACGTCACTGAGTCAAGTGGCAACCAGCATAAAGAAATATTTGTTTTTTTGGTTCATGCATTTGATCAATTAGATTGTTCAACTTTGAACTTTCCTCACAAACCTCTTTTAAAGAAAACCTTCCTCCGGGTGGCACCGCGTACCCGCAGCTTTTTTGCAACTCAGAATTGAGGTATTAATATACAGGAGAAAGTCTCGAAGAGACTAAAAAACTGACGACGAAACACTCGCGTTTTGGGGGTTGTGGTTAATAATTCCCCCATTTATATTATTGAACATTATTTCGATACATAGTTATAATTTTTCAACATTGTTTTTATATTACACAGTATTCATAGGTTTGAGTAAATTTATACATCCAAGACACACAATGTGAAAATGGCGAAAAACGTTTTATACATAATTATTTTCTATACATATATCTCATTACATTATTTTAATAGTTTCCTCGTTAAAAACTATAAAAGATTTACGTGTTCGTTCTTATTCATTTCGTAAGATTTAGTTCACACCGTCACACGACGTTGTCATATTGAGATTTCGTCTGAAATTAAAGAGAGCGAGGTCGTCTTCTAATAAACAGTTTCATGAAGATTCATCGTCATCAATTTGCATTTCACAAGTTTTCTCACTTTCCAAATTTTTGCTGTGTGCTTCAGCTTTCTGTCGCAGGTTTGCAATACTTAAGTTTCTTACTTCATCATCGTTTTCTTCATCTTTTCCAGTTTTTTCTGCATGTCCTGCTTTCTTATACATTCCAAGCAACCATCTCGCAGATGTTGCATCAGCCAAATGTGGTGGGAGCGGTAGAGAATGTCGTACCATCGCACCATACAGACCATATTCCGCCATGATTGATGTGTTACCCCAAACCTTTTCCTTTTTACGCCATTTTGCACGACGATTTTGAAACCAAACCTGCAATGAAATAAACAGTTTTCAGACTACTTAGACACACACAGCTATTTCACGATAACACCAGACTTAATAACATATAGCGTTATATAAACTCAGCTTAGAATTAAAACAAGGCATATTGTGTGAAAAGATGGACAGCTAGTTCATTGAAAACAGAATTACATACGACTGAATGACGTTATTTAAATTATTAATATTTTATGCAATATTATTTGTAAGTTAATACACGCGATACACGCGTAATACCAAAGTAGGCTGTATAAATAAGGTGAGCCATTAAAAAAGTCTTTACATAAGTCATATTATTATTGGCGGCTTGTCAGCGGTTATTAACATCACAGTATCACACTTAATTAATATTTTGTGAATAACTAGACTGTTATATTTAGCGCCAATTTGCTTTCATGAACAATACTTGCGGCGTTTTTTTCTTAAGATCACCCTAATCATCCATAAAACATTAGTATTTTACATTACATATATCAATACAGCTAGCTTCAGTTAGTTGTATGTAGAATTATCAATACAGCTAGCTTCAGTTAGTTGTATGTAGAATTATCAATACAGCTATCTTCAGTTAGTTGTATGTAGAATTATCAATACCGCTAGCTTCAGTTAGTTGTATGTAGAATTATCAATACAGCTAGCTTTAGTTAGTTGTATGTATAGAATGCTAAAACCCGAAAGCTTAATTCGTAAACTGGAATTAGGAAAAGTTACCCCCATTTTATACACACAGTCACGGGGGAAAGTGTACAATTTAACAAATTATTCAAGTTAAAATGTAACGAAGAATATAAATGTAGGAAGAGTAGATACTTATTCAGTCTCGAAAACGTCTGCTTGTAAGTTTATAATATCTGAGAATATTATTGTGCATGCATGACTTTATATTTTTGAAGATTATTTTGGTTAAGATAATGTGATAAGCCTTTGTATGATGCGACGCTGCTCATTTTATTTTCCTGATGAATTTTTAGGTGCCATCTTGTTCACAAGAAAGAAAACGTCTTCTGTTTATAATTAGACCATTGAATGCTAGAAATTCACGCCAAACTACTGCAGTAGTTTGGAAGTTATTTCAATTGAAAATGTACAGAATATTGGATTCAAATAAATCTTTGGGTGGTTGGTTTGACGCGAGCCCTCGATGTATTCATAAATGTGCAAATTATGGTTCATCAAAGAGCACCTGCATGTAACGACATCAATTTTGCATAAACTTTAATTAAAGACATTGAAGATAAATTACCCGAGCAAGCTTACACTTAATGAACACAACTAAATATTATATTACTCGATCAATTTTAGTTATTACATATACCTCAGCAGCATGTTAAAACATAACAAAAACGTTTTCTTAAGATGCGTGGAAAGACATAAAATGTCTCATAATAAGCTATTTCAAAGCGAACGCAGGTGCAGTTTTTCTAGACTACTTCGTTCGTCCAAGACTGGCAATTAAGCTACAAAATTTGCCGATGTTTGTCAAGGCTAAGTGTAGTTAATCCATAATTGAAAGTCATTTTGTTAACCGTTATCTTTCAAAATTAAAAGTTTCGTTGTTTTTGAAAATATAAAGTAGCAAAGTAGCTGCATGTATTGAACGAAAATATAAAGAAATGTAGAAGATATGGTAATTGACATGGCACTATAGATGAAATAGTGCTTCAAATAACAAAATACTAATTATTAGCACTCCTTTATCCTCTGTATACTCAGGCAAAATGCCTGCATGTGTATAATGTTACTGATTCTCCAGCATATACTAATTCTGAATTCTATTTTCCTTACTAATAATGAATTTCGTTTTTCCGCAGCAGGTAAAACTATACCCTCGACACACGATGTAATAGTAAGGTACAGTTACTATATTCATTTGTATGTTCCTAAAAGAAATTGTGGGAAACTATTGGATTGCATGCAAGCTATTCACTACTATACGCGGGTATCTATACAGACTATAGATAGAAACAACATATAGTCTAATCACGCCATATTGTTAAGGCAAACACGCAGGTTATCAGCACAATTTAGAAATTTATACTGATTGCATGTGTATTGTACACAAAGTTTAGTGCAGCCATTAAAGAAAAGGGAATAAAACAAGGATAAAATATGACCATGCAAATGTTATGTTTTAGCGTACCTGTATTCTATCTTCACTCAAGCTTGTCTTGTTGGAGAGAGCTTCTCTGGCATACACGTCAGGGTAATGACTTTCTTTAAAAGCATTCTCTAATTCTTCTAATTGCTGACTTGTGAATATTGTTCGATGTCGGCGTTTCTTTTGTTTTTTAGTGGTGTTCAATGGTGGGGGTAATTTGTCCGAGAAATAGGTCGGGTTCATACGATCCAATTGCATGAAACTTGTGAAGTGACTCGTACTCCAATCTAGAAATACAACATCTAATATTACCTGGAGAATTGATTCATGTGACCAATATGGCTAAATACTAGGATAAATAAAAGGTTTGTGAAAGATCTCAGTCAACATGAAACGTTTTTATAAAGTTTCCGCAGTCAAGAAATAACCAGAACGAATGTCAAATCGGAACTCGGCTTGTCTTTGCATGCGCACTGCTCGTTCATGGCTGTTATGTCGTTGACCTTGCAATGTATGCGTTTAATGGAAATAAAAGTTACAGTTTTATCAAAGCAACGAAATATGCGGTCATCATATAAAACGTCAAGTTTTTTAATTTGAAACTGAGTTAGAAATTTTCTGCAGGTGAAATACGAATAAATATTCACGGCTATGTGATTATGAACTCTATCCTTATAATACCTGATATAAAATTTTGTACAAAAATATTTCGTAATTTAAACTTCACTGTATCAAATACGCCTGGATGATCCCAAAAGACAACTTGTACTAACTTAATTTAAAATAATGTCATGAAAATATTCAAGAGGACCACGAAGTGTATCAGTGTAAACATTATTAAGGCTAGGCATTATTTTGCATTTTTGGTTCAAAGTTTATAGTTTAAAGGAACCAACCAACATTTTTAACGCTCTTTTTCAATAATGTGTTGGGGAAGTGCAAATATTTAAGACAGGTCAAGTATAACTTCATGATTTACAATATTCAATCTACCCTCACTCTTTCGTCTTTATATAGTTTCGTGATATCAATGCATGCTTGCATAAGCATGCAACAATGATATGAACCGAGCTCTTCGCTTTCTTCTTGAAAAGTGGACTAGATATCTATATACCCTACTGAGCTATATGATCTTATATCCATTAGTGACATTATAGACTATTATCTTGTAGGGAAGAAAATAAGCTAATGGGAAAATGCCATGCACCTTAACCGTATTTAATATACATGCATACCGATGAGAATAAAGCAAAAGCCTTATTCATGCATAAGCCAATAATATATATCAATGTATAGCTGAAAACAAGTTGAAATTTTCAATACAATATAAGACATGCAGTATAGTTGTCTTCCAATTATATTAACGTTAACACGCAGCTTATGGGAGTTCAGAGAATTCAATAAAACGTGTCTTCTTACCTAAATGTGTCGCCGTTGGACTTCCAGGCTCGATCTTTATAACGGTGTCTGTGTTTGAAAAGTGGTTGTTTTCACTATACAAGTCAGGTTTCTCTTGTGTTTTGTCCAGGCCAAGAATATCTTGAATTGAAAATGAATGTGACGAAGTGGTTTTATTTTGCGATTGTCGACATTCTACGTTATTCTCGTTGTTCCCAACACGGGCCATTTTAATATATTATTTAGTTTCTGACCTGCCAGAAGAGTATTTGGCGCTAGTCCACCGTCTAATGACTTTGTGAGCTTCCTAATCTGTTTTTTATCTCGCGTTGTGAATGTAATTAGCCATTGTATGGAAACAGCAATAATCGTGAAATAATTGGAGAAACAGTGGGCAGGTGCATAGATCGTTATTCTCTGCATGGAAGACAGTTCATATATTTCTTAATTACACTTCTTATTATTAGCTTTATTACAAAATAATAACCCAAATTCGTTGAAACTTCAACAAGCTAAGAATGATCCTCATCCAAGTTATTTTATTATAAGATATTTAACACGCGAAACAAAAAGGAAAAGTTTTAACAAAAACATTCAGGCTGTTTACATAATGACTTTAAAATGACGCAAGTATTAAGAAATGGACATCTGCTCTCTAGTTTTTACATCTAATATTTTGGAAACACTTGCTTGAAAGTTTGAAGGTATAGGTTTTATTTTAAAGGCATCGCAATGTATAAATCATTTTATGAAAAAGAGAGCATCGTATATATCAGTTCTGCACTTGCAGGGAAGCTACAATTCAAAATGTATTTCTGTATAATGAGAATGTTGATTAAATGCCGTTTAAAAACTCATTAGAGACAACAAGATATTAAACTGGCATATTGATCTAACAAACGAGCAGCTCATTAACAACTACCTATAGCTCTAGCATAGCGGGAAGACTGGATGTCAACAATAGCTCATGACGCTGTCATTTAACATGCAAATATTAGAAATACATCAACCAATAGTAAAACTTGACGGCACCTGTCCTCTTGACAATACTTGAAATAAACTGCAGAACTCTTTGTAATAGCTTTGCCGTTACAATGAACTTTGAAACATCACTTTCTTTCACCTAATTTCGCTAATAGTCTTATTTTGGACCTTGAAAATTTTATGAAAAATTTCAGTAATCAATATAGTTCTTTACTTTAGTTAAATTGCAGAAAAACACAAAATTTCTACTTAAAATATCTGTTGTGCATGACGCGAAGACAAGATTCTAAATAAACCAGCTGAGACACCTCGAAAATTGCCGAAAATAAACATTTTCCGAGACGAATATCAGCATGAATGTTTATTTGGTAAAATTTTCAAACTCAGCTTGGCCAAAAAAAGGTAATTATCGCTTTATTTGATGCGAAATTCCCGCGTATTCATTTATAGCATATTGCGTTGTGGTACTGCATGATTTGATCCGCATTTCCAAAGTCCAGTGAGGAAAAATCCAGTGACGTGCGCGCCTTACCGTGCATGAGATGCATACATAGGCTACAGCCATAAGACATATAATCTTTCAATTTCCGTTTACAATTGAGATCTAGTTAATGTAAAAGCAAAACCTTCCTTGCCTTTATTAACCAAACTTTAAACAAATATGATTAAAAATTGGAACGCGCGGGATCAAGACTGGTCATTAAAGGACAGAGATGGAGAAGCAGAAGATATGTCAATGCATGTATGTAGACGTGTCCTTTAATTATCACTCTAAAATCTATGTCGGTTTTTGTACACAAATGTTTGTAATTGCAAGGAATTTTATCTCAACCGGCTTATTAATAAAAATATTCAAATCTATACAGGAAAAGTCGGCGTATAATGACTCGACAAGGGGACTTTTTGAAATGAAAGTATAAATTAGATCCAATTATGTTGAGCTTGGCAGAATATATAATATAAGCCTGAAAGTTGTATTGTAATTAGCAATCGTTTGAAGGCAGGTGAAATTCGAAGCGGTAAAATGAACATGCTTTGTTGTGATAATCACCAACTGACTGTTTCTCAAAGAAATATCCTACGAATTTTAATATCCTGAACTGATGACGTTGAGACTGTTTTAAGATCAAGTAACAATATACAACTGCATCTATTTGAGGCATGCATGTTTTCACTTCAGTGTGGATATATAAGTAAGCAGTGTGTCACTGAAGAAGAATATATTTATATATATATATATATATGCGTAAAGCTTCAGATGTATGGGCGATTAAATACATATAGTTGTAGGAAACAATTTGTTTTTAAAGTATACGATATTTCATGAAGTCTCTGTCGGCTCCCAGCATGCATGATCATGCAGGACAAGTTTTGGGCATAAACTTACATTGATATTGGACGCTGATGTAAAATTTTCTTTTACCGATCTAATTCAAATGAAGTATAAAAATCAGTGTATAAGAAATAGCTTTTATGGTCAAACTAGGAACAATTCGCTATAAAAGCGGGATGGGGATAAAGATGTGTGTAGCTGCCAACTTTGACTTCCCGTTATAGTGGAGTAAGAGTTAGAAAACGAGTCTAATAACTCGCGACCTCGCGGTTAATGCGGTCGACCTATGAGTATTGGAATTGTATATATATTATATAATATATATATTATATTATATATATATTATATAATATATATATATATATTATATTATATAGTCTTCCTTTCCCCCAACAGTTAAACATATTTTGATAACCGCTTTATAGTCAATGAATACATGGGAGTTTTGGCTGTTGAAGTTAAAGTTGCACCTGTGCCTTTTTAGCAGTTTTTAATTAAAGATAATTTGAAAACGATTAAAATTAAAAAGTAAAAAAGTGTCGTCTTACATGCATGCTTCAATATTTAACCAATAAATCCAACGCTGTATGATGTAAATATATATATTTGTTAATAAAGGAAACATTTGCCGGGTCATGCAACATGTTTTCACAACAGCTCGAAATTTCTTTCTCTTTCAACCAGGAAATCTCTTCAACATAATTATATACGTGCACAATATTTTTCTTAGGCGAACTGCACACTGCATGCATGATCATATATACATTAATATATATATATATATATATAGCTATATATATCCCGGCTGCACTGTGCCCCTGTTCACGTGCATGTGCTGTGCGCTTGCATGGCTTTGTTGTAACACATATTAGACCTCATTGAAATCTGTGTGAGCCTGCATGTGAGGGCAGTATACTGCATGTTCCTGCATGCGACTTCAGTGATGTTATAATATATAAATGATAAGTTGTTGATCGTTTAAACAAAACATTAATTGAATGCATATAATCATGCATGCATCTATATATTGCTTCTTCAAAATAATTTTCCATATGAGTATTCAAACCTGATATAGCCTATGAAGTATTACTGCATGAACATGCATGCACCTCAGTCGGAGTATTCCAAATTCAGTGCTAAAGCACAATCGAAGTATATACCAACATATACAAGTATATATATGGATATCGATATCATTTTCTTCTAATTGGAAGTTAGCTATACAAAAATTTTTCGTTTATGACAGCATGCTAGGCATTTCTTTTATTTGAGAAAATATTCTTGGACTTAGCTGCTTGTTGGCGTGAAATCACTGGCTATTTTATATGCATGCAAGAATTATAACAATTAAAATAACCTTGCTAAAGTATTCATTTTCTGGCTCTGTTAAATTTACGGTAGCTGCCTTAGCCAGTAACTTCCCCCATGCCAATATATACCATATTTCAAAATTAAGTCTGCTAACAATTGTATAGTTGTTCATTAAGTTTTTTTAATAATCTTATGGGCAAATAATTTTGCCGGAAATTTGCGAATCATCCATATAAATAATTCTTAAACTTAATGAAACATAATAATATAGTGGCCTTAATAAAACATTTCCTCTTTATTACTTATTAAATAATTTAAATTACCGATACAGCAATAAAATATTGGTTAGTATGTGTAATAAATCAGTTAAACGAACGGAATCATTGACACCAAAGAATTAAAAGCGGTTACTCTTTCATCCCAGCATGCATAATATTAATTGGAAAAATGTTCATATATATTTATATGAGTATACGAAGCAATATTTTTATATCTTCTCTATCTGTAGTATGGTATTGCGCACTCTCTAGTATTTCGTAATCCAAAGGACATTTATATTTACCATATATTATATAGCTATATATACAGCTATATTATATATTATTAAACTCTTCTAAAAAAATAAAAGAGACGGTCGCCAAAAAGCTGCACCTTGACATACCCCACACACACCCCCCCTATTATAATATTGACGGGTGATATCTTTTTGAATACGTTTTCATTCTTAATGGTGTACAAATTGTAATAAGCATGATATGTATAATGATATATATAACTGATGCATTTATTTTACACAAAAAACTGCCTCTTGTGAAATTATGCCCCAGCTAAATATCGAATTATGTTTTAAAAACAATTTAACGTATAAAGGTAATCACAGTTACACGAAACAACTTTCAACATCAACTCGCAACACAATGCAACAATAAGCGATTGGTTCATTAATCAATCTCCGATGCCATGCAAGCCGACTTGTCAGACTGTAGCTTCTGTTGTTCTACCACAGGAGTTGATAGTTTATAGTTCTGAATTTTAACTCTTTAATTGTTGAACATATATATAGTTTCTCGTTTTAGTATTCGCGGTTGTAAAAGAGCGTCAATTACTTATAAAATTACGTAAGATGAGGCCTGGACTTCAAAAGGACCGCGATTTTTTGAGCTGATTTGTTTTTGTGTTCGTTACTTTTAAATTTAAAAGAGATGATGAGAGTAGTGGACTATAGTGGTAGTGCGTGGTTGACGACCTTACTTAGTTAGTTTCCTGTAAAAAATGATTTAGCTAAACAAGCCAGCTAGTATTTAACTACTTTAACAGAAGTCAAATAGATTCGTATATAATAACGTTACGCTACATAAGAAAAAATATAGATTTCTCTGCCTAAATAACTGCCGAAATATCTGCCTAACTATATTGCCATCGACCTATAAAGTAACAATCTGAGCCATGCAATTATCTGATGAACCAGCCACTCTATCTAAATGAATATCTGACTGGCTTACCATCTTACAAACCATTATTATCTGCCAATAAACCAACCATTTTAAGTAACCAAATTTGACTAATTAACCAGTCCACCTAAATCTCACACCAACCACATAATTAAGGTGGCTCAATACAGTTTTCAAAAATTCCATCGTTCATCA